TATATATATATATATATATGGATTTATATCCATATAAATATATACACAATCTATAAATGTATATGCACACATAGAACAAATAAATATGTCGGAGTATACATTCACACATGCATATACGTGCATATTTTTATTTATATATAAAAAAATGAAAGTTATTACTGAGCCGAGCATATTTGAACATCTTGTTTGTATGTGGCTTGTTAAATATATGAGCTTATAAAAATTAGTCAACTTTAAGCTAATTTTTTAGCCAAATACGTAGAAACTTTTTTGACAGTTATAGTCGTAATTTCTTATCCTCTTTGTTTTTTGTTGAATATATATCTGTTCAGATTCTTCCACCACCTATTTCAAGGACTGATTTTGATAAGGTGCTTGCGAGGCAGCGGCCAACTGTCAGCAAAGCTGATCTTGAGTTGCATGAGAGATTTACCAAGGAGTTTGGAGAGGAGGGCTAATTGGATTTGGTGAGAAATTCATCATGCCATGACCAATGATTTAATTGTATATTGCGCCTTTTTTTCTAAGGGATAAAAGAAAAAGGGAAAATCATGTAAGTGCTTCTTGCCAGATTGAATACCTGAGGGGAAACACTGAAACTCGCGTGAGTGCTCATAGTGATCGTAATCTGTATTTAATTGAGGTGATTATATAGCATGAAATTTATGACTTCAGAAGCCTATTTTAAAACCGGATTGTTCTTGTCCCATCTTAAATCTTGATTATAGCTATCCATTCCGTTCTTCAGGTTTATTGGCCGTTTATCCTGTAAGACAATTTTGTCCATGCAGTAGACCTTATGATGCGGCACTGTTATTATGGACTAGTTGGTTTTCTAAATGGACATGTTGCAGTTACCGAATATGATTGAAGCTGAGTTATAACTCAAATATCTTATAGGAGTTTTTTCAGAAATCTTTTCGTTTGACGCATTGATGACATCACCAGTCTTTTTTTTTTTTTTTGTCGTAGGTGTTCTGTTTAATAGGGAAAATTATTGCATTCGGTCACCGGATGTGGAGATAGGTCCGGATATTAATAAAATATTAGTTTAAGTTAAGCACGTCAAAAGCGCAGGTAAAGCGCATGAAAGCGCAGGTAAAGTGCACCTAATGCGCACCTAAAGTGCAGTCAAAAGCGCAGGTGGCGTGGCATGTTTTTATTGGATGTCTAAACCTATTTTGCTCGTCCGGTGACCGGATGCAATAATTTGCCGTTTAATAGGTTCTGTTTAATAGAGATTGTATGACTGCATGGGCTGTTTCATGCCTCTATTAATGCTAATATTTTATTGAACTAGCCCTCCATTTCCTTGGAAACATTTTGGTTCGTAGGAGATTTACTGTTATTTTAGTGTCTTTATGTATAAAATAAACACTCAAGGTTTACATTGCGCTAGCAAAACTTGCTATGTAATTAGATCGTTAGGTTTTCAATAGATTATTCAGAATGTAGTTGATATTTTATTGAGATCTTAATGATTTGGCTTGTTATTGTAGTTTGTATATTTTTTTCGAAGTCTTAGTAGGTCTCATATCAATGCTCATTATACTTTTGCTTGCAGATTTCATTTTAAATTTTGAATGAAAAATATTTGTTCCTTTAAAATATTTGTCATATTTTCTCATGCTTACAAACTTTTAGCAAATTAAGATAACAGTGGCAATATAACAACAACAACATCAAGCCTTTATCCCACTACGTGGGGTCGGCTACATGAATCCTTTTTCTCCATTGTGTCCTATTAAAAAAGGCGGCCTTCCGACGACCCGGTTAGGAGAGTAGAGGTATTAGATTTGACTTGTGTTAAGAAAGGTAGGGGTAGACCTAGAAAGACTTGGTTAGAAAATAACAGTGGCAATATAGAGCATGTAAAATTTAAAATGAAGATAATATTAAATTAATAATTTATCAAGCAATATAAAATGCAAGAAAGGATAATTAACATCAAATCCCCAACATTAGCACCAAAAACCTGATAGGATTTTCACTTTCACACCATACTTGTCTTTTTAAATATTATTTGTTATGTTATAGTACAACTCATGTTCTATACAAGTACGGATGCCGTCTTAAGTAATAAAGTAATGTGAAGAATATCGTTCCCATGAGGATTTTATATTACCATAAAATTACTCTAGTATTGATTATAAGAAAAAATATGTTTATCTTGTATAGTAATTAACAAGGGTTATGAAATTGAAAGTAGTTGCTATAAATGCAAAATCTCTAGATTATAAGAAAAAATTATATTCATCTTGTATGGTAATTAACAAGCGTTACGAAATTGAAAGTAGATGCTATAAATGCAAAAAAATAAATTCAATAATTTAAAGCACTCTTAACCTTTAATATCTAAAAACATATACTTGCAATAGATAGATTTTTCTTAATGTTAGTGTGAATCAGAGTATAAGTACACCTCATTTTTGTCGACATATTTTGAGTATTTAACTTAGATTTATCTAAAGTACAATTTTAATATATTCGTAAGTTCCCATGACCTTAACCAAAATATGCAAATGCATAGCAAAGTTACATTTAAATCCTTTTTTTTTTGTTCTCCTATTCCTCCATCAAGGTTATAGGTCACACAATATTTTAAATTTATGCAAGGTCTCTGCACAAACTAAAATGAAGCACGGGACTATTAAAAATAGCATATAACATTTCATAAAACTTAAGATCTATTATATGAAATGTATAGTTTCTAAAGTATCATAAGCTTAGAGAAAAGACTTTAGTCAATCATGGAGATAATAGTAAACACCACTAAGAACTTCATTACACTAAACAAAAAACAAAATAAAAAAAACCTAAAAATCTTCAACTAACAAGTAAAAAAATTCAATGCACTCCTTCCTTCTCTCCACACTAATAAGGACTACCCCAACAAGTACAAGGCTTGCCTCCACCCAAAAGATTCCTCAGAAACTCTCCCTCACGACCCTCCAACATGACAACAACTAACAAAAACATTTACATTTGATATAGGCTTCTTATTTTTAGAAATTCAAAAAAAAAAAAAAAAAAAAAAGAACTAGTGCCGCAATGTTGGTTGGGTAGTGATGCTGAACCGATGTGTTGGTTCAGTACTAATCACATCGATTTGACAGTTTAATGGTCTTCAATTGTCCTCTGCCACGACGCTAGGATGATTTGGTGATGTGGCACTCCCTAGGTAGCACCTAATTATTTGAGTTATGATCTATTTGATATAATTTCTTAGTGTTTTACTTTTTAGACTGCAACTAAATTTTCATTTGTTTTGAGGCCTATATACATAGAGGCTCTTACTCTTGTATTAGAGGAAGAAATATTAATAAATAAAAAAAAGTTTGCACTTGTGTTCTTTGGAGAAAACTTGAGTGAGATTTCTATGGGAGGTAATCGGAGCTTCCACCAGCCGCATAATGAGTTCGGCCTCATGGATTGAAGTCCCTTGGAGAATGACAACGTATTACCTGTCAGTTGTAGGATGTGTCCGGGCTCACGGTTGTATCTTTTCTTCCCTAAATCCTTTACTCCTCTTCCCTTAACCACCGGCTAAAATCCCCCACTTTCCACCGGCCGATTTTCTCACAAATCCCTCCAAAGCCACAAGCCTCCTCCACTTTATACATATCAACTGCAGGCCATAAACCCCTCCACCTCCATAGCCGGCTGACCACCTCACCCCTAACCTCTTCTCTCCTTCATTCCCCTTCTTTTTCTTAAATTATGTTGAAGATAATTTGAAAAGAATTTTGAATTCAAATCCAATTAGTTTGAAATTCAAAATGTTTTCTAAATTACTAGATCTATTTATGGAAAGTTCTTCAAATCAATTTGAAATTGTATTTTATTAAATCCTTTCTCCCTTAATTGAAGACTTAATTAATTTGCTTTTCCTTACCTCCCATAACCGGCCCCTTCTCTCTCTACTCGCTGCCCCTTCCCCTTTTGCTCTTAATTGGAGTCAATCTTGCTTGAGAGCCTTCTTTCCTATTGTGATTGTGTTTAATATGGAAAGAATTTGAATTTAAATTCAAATGTATTTAAATATCAAATCATTTCCCTAATTTAGTTATCTTATTTTAGTAAAGTATTTAAATCAAACTTATTTCAAATTCAAATAGGATTTAATTTAAATATTCCTCCCTAATTTAAGGTTCTCCACTTGGCACGCATTTAAATCTCCCTAATATAAGGTTCTCCCACAACTATTTTTTTTTTGCTTTTTAAAACTTTCTATAGAGGGAAGTTGCTTTTTACAACCTAAGTTGCTAATATGTGACCGCTTTGAGAAAATAATTGTTCAATTTTTTTTTAAAATGATATATTTATAATATTCACATCAATTTTTAAAAATTACTTTACCCTAACACCATCACAAGCACCTTTATAAAACACTCAGTAGCCATCCAAAAAGACCCCTAGTAATATCTTAGGATCTATTTGGGACTACTGCAATATTTTATAAAGTTGTTTATGAAGTTGTTATATGAAAAATAACTTAATTGTTGCTTTCTGCCACAAAAATTTCTAAACAATAATGAATGCAATAAGAAAATAATAGTCAAACAAAATTATAGTTGTCATTTGAAAAGAAATCTGATGAGAAAGCTTTTTTTTTTTTAGGGATATTAAGGGTCATACCCATCTTTCATTAACTAAATAAGGAGATTATAAGACACATGCCAACAATAAAGCTTTGTAATACAAAAGAAATGGTTCGATGTAAGTGGTATATTTGCAGCCAAAATAGAAAGGGTCCAGTCAATCGATAAAAAGAAAGAAAAAGTCCTCCAAATTTTTTAAATGGAAAATCAAAAAAACTGCCTTGCAAGTCAACAAGAGAAGTCAGGAGTATTTGTTTGAAAGTTATCTTCTGGTTGCAAAATTTCCTGCACGTGGGGTTTTCCACTTCGTCCCAAACCAAAAAAGCTAAAATGCCAATTTAAATATCTGGATAATCATTAGAAAGTAGGTAGTGACAAGTGTCAAGAATGTATATGTAACAATCATCATTGGCCAAAAATACATTTGCAACCAAGAAGTCATAATTGATGTTTAACCTAATTAGCTAAATCATTCGCAAGTCAAATAGCCCAGAGCACCACAACATTTCCCAATCAAGTAAATTATCACTTCCATCATAAAAGAAGTCGAATCTAGATATAATGCAGCAGTAAAAAAAAAAAAAAAACTTCATATCCAAAGAAACTTTAGCTATTTGAAAATTATTAGAGTAATTCTGATCATTCAGCAACACCAACCATCATTTAGATGCTATATATCCACAACAACTTCTTCCAATCAAATTAAAAAATGCAGCCAACAGATAAAAGAAGAATGAAACAAGAGATGAAACAACAGTCAAGAAAAATCACAACCTTAGAGATTGTTCGGATAACTTTTTTAGAATTTTGCTATAATTTTGTTTAACTGTTATTTTCTTGCATTTTTACTGTTCAAAAATTTATATGATAAAATATTTTTTATAACAAATTCAAATATAGCAAAATTATTATTTTTATAATAACTTTATAACTTTATGGCAGCCAAGGCTTGGGTAGTTGTTCAGCGATCGGTCGTGAGAGCCGGACCCGTGCTCAACCTATTTTAAATTTTCTTTATAACCATCGACGCAAACTGGCTTATCATTTTTGTCGCCCTAGCGCTTCTGTAACCACCGCCGCCGCCTTGTTAGGAGCTGCAGCGGAGATGGTAAGTCTTCAGCCTTCTCATTCTATGTTTTGATTACTCTTTTCCGATCTGACACTCCCGCTGCTTCTTTCTATCTTGATCTATTTAGCCTTCGTTCAAGACTTTCCGGATCAAGAAGAAGCTCGCGAAGAAGATGAGGCAGAATAGGCCTATACCTCATTGGATTCGTATGAGAACAGACAACACCATTAGGTTCTTTTCTAACTTTTGATCTATATGCTATTTGCTTTGGTACATGATCGGCTTCTTTGATTTTTCGCCGCTGATTCGTATACTTTCCTCTCAGGTACAACGCCAAGCGCAGGCACTGGCGCCGCACCAAGCTAGGGTTTTAAGGAGGCCCTTTCATTCCTCCCTTAAGGGGATGGGTTTAACGTTTCTGCTTTCCCTTTGGTTTATTGTATGAGCAATGATTTAAATTTCAGTTTTTGTACCTAAGAAATATTTCTAGGTTTGAGCATCTCCTGTCATTTTATGAGCTGCAGTCTGTTATTATGCTATTTCATATGCTGGTAAATTCGGGATTTTTCTTCGACCGTTGTCTGATTAATATGGGCTTACCGTTGATTGTTTCTTTCTGATCTGGTATCCTTTCATGCATTACTTTAACTTCTTATCAAGGATTAAGTTGTCGTCAACTATATGATATTTTGCTATATTGGCATTGCAGTGAGGTTATTTCCAAATTTTACTTATGTGCTTTTTCTGATAAATAATCATATATAATCATTTTAAGCTCCTCATAATGTATAATTGGTGGCTTAAACGATTTAAGTTAAAATAATGGTATGAAGTAAGGCAATTAGGTGCAATATTTTTCATATAAGATTCTACTTTTTAGAAATTGGAAAGGTAGGTGTGGTTGTTTGGCTATGGAAAGGATGTTTTGAAGGCATTGCTGGAGATTAAAGAGTATTATGCTCTTTATTTGTTTATTAGTCTTGACACAATATGTAAATATGCTGTTGTTGGAAATTAGGATCCACATGGAGTCCGCGTAGAATGTATATTTTGGGAACACAGGGAAATGCAATAATGTCATTGTATGCCTTGTTAATTAGAAAAATTCCTTGTATGGCACTTTTGGTGGAATAATTTTTAGTTCATTATATACATGTATTATGGTTTCTGCATGGTTTTGGATTAATTTTATTGTCATCATGAATGCAAGATCCATAGGGCGATTAGTTAATCCTATCCATGAAGGAAACTGACTCTAGAAATGGCATTTGCTTGAAAAGTAATGATAAATATTAAATCCAGTTTTATCTACATCCTACCTCTAGTTGCCCTTGGTCTTAATAGCTTACTAGTGTTTTAAATGGATGTGTTGAATCACTTGGCCATATAGTGTGAAGCATAGTTGATGTGAAACCAATAGGAATTGCATTAGAGATTATAAAGAAATTGATTTAAGCTTTGCAATATAAACTAATGTTTCACAAGATTAGATTCTTAGACTTAAGGCCATCAATAATGTAAAGGCAATCAATTACAATATAGAATAACGATCACTTGAGAATGATCTCAATCATAAATATAAACTTAAATATTGTAAACAAGAGATATCACACTTAACACTAGTAAGCTGGGGTGGCCGGCGGTTGGATCTTGGGTTGGGAAGGGCCGACCGCTTAGGATGATGTGGGGGATTTGGCCGTGAGGTAGAAGAGATGGGGGAAATCTTCCCGGCGGTGGGCTTGGGAAGGAAGGGGGCTTGGCCGGTGGTGGAGACAGGGAAGGGAGGCCGGCGGTCTAATGGGAGGTGGGGAGAGTGGCCGGTGGAGGGCTATTTGGCGGCTGTGGGGAAGGGAGGGAGATGGGCGGCCGACGGGTGATGAGGATTAAAGAGGCTGGCGGTGAAGTAAGAGGAGGAGTCGGACCATGAGCCCCGGACACTTCCAGCGATTGGTGGGTATTGCTTTGCCCACACCTTGGGACTTCACCACTCAAGAACTCACAAGCTCCAGAGAGAAAATAGAAATAGATGAAGGGTTTGATTGCTTGCCTAATCAGTAATTTTCAATTAGGAATAGATTATATCAATCCCAATTTGAATTTTAAATTGGACTTAATTTGGGGACTTGAATGGTGATTGATAATGACAAGAATTAATGAGAAAAAAGGAGGGGACGGGCCGGCCTAGAGAGGGGGGGATTTGTGTCCACATTAAATGAATGTGGACCAAGGCATTAATTTGTGATTGAAGAGTAAATTTGAGATTTAATCTCAGATTAAGGTGATTGAGTAATTATTTCCTAAAGGAATTAGACACATTTAAAAAGCTTTAAAATTCAAATTATTTTGAATTTGAATTCAAATTCTTTCCCAAATAACAAGAAGCCAAATATGGAAGGTAATAATGGGGGATTTGATTTGGGAATCCAAGGGGATGATGGGGTGGCCGGCTGTTGGATCTTGGGTTGGGAAGGGCCGACGGCTTAGGATGATGTGGGGGTTTTGGCTGTGAGGTAGAAGAGGAAATGGGGGAAATCTTGTCGGCGGTGGGCTTGGGAAGGAATGGGGCTTGGCCAGTGGGGGAGACATGGAAGGGATGCCGGCGGTCTAATGGGAGGTGGGGAGAGTGGCCGGTGGAGGAGGGCTATTTGGCGGCTGTGGGGAAGGACGGGAGACGGGCGGCCGATGTGTGATTAGGATTAGGGAGGCTGGCGGTGAAGTAAGAGGACTCGGACCACGAGCCCGAACACTTCTGGCGACTGGTGGGTATTGCTTTGCCCACACCTTGGGAATTCACCACTCAAGAACTCACAAGCTCCAGAGAGAAAACATATATTTTATTTCATTCATCGTTATCTCTCATACAAAATGAGAACCTTATATGTAGGCCTCCAAACAATTATATTAGAAAAAAAAGACAAGAATGCCCTTGGGGCTACAACTCAAACACAAACATATAAAGGTACAATCGTCACACCTAATAAAAGAAACACAAATACAAAATATAAATAAAAAATAAAGACTTCTGATTGAGGTCGTCGCTCTGTGCTGCTTTCGATGATAGACATTCCGGAATCTCCTGCTGATGTCCTCATCAATAGTTGTGTTTGCTATTTTATTTCTTCAATGAATGCGACTTTTTCCTTGTTACTGTTAAGCTTCTTACATTTTTCCTTTAATCAATGAACTTGTTGAATTGTTTATGTGAAGAAAGCAGTATGCTATGTCTTTCATTTAAGATAGTTGTCTTTGACCTTTCCTACATTTTACGTAAGTTCCTTGTTGCACATTTAACTGGGTGGTGTTGTAATTTTTTTATACTGATTTTTTAACAAATATTTATTACTGGATGTTCTTTAAATTGTGGATGGTTTTATAACTTGTTATAAATATATGGGTGTTTGTATATGAAATGCTTGAACCTTGTTCTTGAATTAACAACTACATGCACAACTTTTCTTAGCAGGAACTAACATGTACCCAAAGTGGACGTGAATCAACTTGCAATTAGTTTAGTAGTTTAGTGGATTAATTAGTTTATTGTATTGTAAATCTATAAATATCCCTTATTAGGAAAGGATGAGTCATGAAGTCGAACATTACCTCTTTCTAATGTTGTTTTACTTTGAAGTGATAGATTAGATTGAAGTGTTCTAATTAAGATATTCAATCTTATCGTTGTGCTTCCATCGCACCTCCTTCCCGCAAGTCATCATTTGCATTCATCCATTCCAAATTTCTATCATTTTAATCCTTTACTTTCACTTAGCTAGCATTCATCCTCATTTTGATCGTCCTCCATCAACTTCTCAAAATCACATAAGATTGTCAATTGTATCGCATTTTTAGTGCAAATCTTTATCCCTATCATTTTATGCTCTCGTGCCCCATCCAAATCTCCGACTAAACCCCGTTCAAGAAATTTCCATGACAAATAGTGCGATGCCATGTTCTACTTCAAGAACTATTTGTTTGAAGTGCATTAAGCACTCACTACTTGCACAATCTCATTCAGAATTTTGGATTATCCACCTCGAGCTCCTTTTGAACCTGCTCGCCTGGAGAACCATCAGGTGGTTTTTTTTATCGTGACCTTTCATGGTTCCTAAGTTACATTGTAGCATTATGGCCTTAGTCATATATATTGCTAGAAATGTAAACTCGAACACCCAAGTGCAAACTCTTACTTCTTTTCATCCACAATTACAAAGCTGTCACTTCTTCACTCAGCATTATAGATCCTTACAAACTAGCCGTCAACATCAAGCTATCGTCAATGCCAATTTGGATAACCTCGGCCATGAATATTGACTCCACTTTGCTAAGATCCCATGGCTTTGTTGCTAAGGTTTGGATTGTTGATGACTTCATTTCTTGAGTGTCATCCATCATCATCAAGAAACCTAATGTTTTTTCATTAATAAAAGATGTTGCAAACCACCCATCTAGATTTCATCAGTCTTCTATTATTTTACCACCCTTTGCCTTTCCATGAAGAAATCAATCATCTCTGTTGACCCAAGACTTCTCGAAGATGGTATTGACAATAGTTGGTTCTATTGTTGATTTGTACATATTCTCTTCCGCCTTATTGATTTCTTGATTTTGTCTTTAGGATCTTCAATTATATTCCTCAAGATAGCTAGAATTGAAGCATCTAAAACATGCCAAGATCTTGTTTGTCGGGCCCAAAAAATATAATCAATTATTTTATTGAAGTAGTCCAAATCTATTTTTAACGGATTTTGAAGATTGTTTAGCCGAATATTATTATGTAAGAATGGATAAGTTGGATAAAAAGGTAGCATCTAATTTTGTTATCTTATTGGAAATTAGCTTGTGATTCACAATTATAGAGAAACATGTTGGATTACCTATTTAACAATGAATCATTTGGAGCACCAATGGATCCCCTTTTCCCCCTCCATCAAAAATTTTTGGACCAACCAGTGCCACTTTTTTTCAGTTCGTATAAATAAATGACTTAACAGCATATCATATCTTATTTTGGCAAAATTTAATACAAATCCAAAGAGAAGATATCCTCCCCCCTCCCCCTACTCTAGCAAAAAAATTTGGATTGGCCAATTCTACTATTTTCCAGGTCATATAAATAAATGACTTGGCATATCATGTCTTATTTTGACAAAATTTAATAAATCCAACTAGAAGATTTATTTTATTGATGAAATCTCTGACTCATTTTTTGAAATCAAAGTGACAAATGGGATCTTTGATTCAATGACGATTGATAATATTCTTTATGTTGAGATGTTGGTGCAAACCTTGACAATGTGTTCTTTTGATGTATTGATTGAGTTTCTCAAGTGCTAAAGGTTTACATTCTATTTGGTTCATCCACATCTTGTGCATGGAAAGGAAGTGCTTAAGAGGTTTTGGTTGAATGGATGTTTACCATCTCCATTGGATCAACTAGAAAGTTCGACATCAGCATGGTTGTTGTGAGAGGGGAATAATGATGTAAATCCACATGTAATCAGTTTATTATTTATTAGTAATTAATTATGACTAATTAGCTTAATGCACTGGAAATCCATAAATACTCCCTTTTTGGGGAGAGGATGTGATATGAAATTGAGTGAATACCCCATTTCAAATT